ACACGTGCTGCACCGAGCAACGCGGACACCAGGGCCGACAAAACGTGAAACGTGCAACGTCCCGTGCACGCAATTGCCGATTGACGTCATCGGGAACACCGACTACGATAATACACAGACGAACGTTTCGACGTTCACGTACCACCGGCATCTGGTGTCTGCGAGTGCCACTGACGACGCATCACGTGTGTCCTGCAAAGAAATTTATGTTAAAAGGTTGAATAATCTATGCGCCGTAATTAGAATGTATATTCCGGTCACTGAAGTACAGCGCAGTTTTGTTATATCTGCGTGGACTTTCAGACATGTTAACGGTGCTCAGACATCATTGTGGCGCACGAAAAGATTTAGAGTTTCGTATTTATTAATTTTAAATTTTTTTAATTTAGGAACTTAGAAAGTTAGGAATTTACGAATTTAAGTATTTAGAAATTTAGGGATTTATGAATTCAAACATTCAGAAATTTATGAATTAATAATTCTCGTATTCAGAAATTTAGAAATTTAAAAATGTGACAGTTCAGAAATTTATAAATCACAAAACTTTCCGTTTATATCCTCCTGTATAATGTTACCCGCTCCTACAACTCCATCGAGGGCCATATATCAAGACTACTGTGTATAAACATCTATTATGACAAAGCAATATTAAAAATAAATAAAAGACTCACCGGTTCCGTAGGACCATCGCCTTCCTTTCCTAATGACTGTCCCTCCATCCAGCCCATTTTTGATAAAAGTTTGAATCCTCTATTGTCTTTTGCTATAGAACTAAAACAGGACAACATGAAAATAAGAATCGCTGCAAAGTTCAGCAGTAAAATTAACTGCTTTTCAAAGAAAAATAATCACTTCAAATTATTTACAAATTCACGTATAACTTACATGTCCACTGAACTTTGTTGTGTTTTCGCATGATGATTCAACGAACCGATGCACTGTCTCCTACTCTGTGCTCTATCTTGATATCCCGTTGCTAATTGACTGGCAGTTGCGACATTATCCTTCTCAATGCCGAATTTGTGTTTCAATCGTTTCAACTCTTGTTTATGAAGGTCTTTCTTAGAAGTTTTATTCTCTTCCGTATTATTATTCTGCTGAACGAGACCTGGCTCGCAGTGGCCGCAAGTTTCGTTCCCATTGTGAATATGACACAATAATTTTGTAGTACCAATTTGTATAATTGAACCGTGCGAAACTTCGTGAGGTTCGGATTCTTGTTTGGCTACAGATAGTCTCTTTCCATTCAGAAATGTACCATTTCTTGATCCCAAATCTATGATTTCATATATCTTTTTCTCTTCGTTATACACAAATCGAGCATGATGCTGGAAATATAGACTTTTATATACTTCTATATCAATCAATAGGGTTGCTATTTGTAGGTACTTACTTTACTAACGTTTATCTCCGGTATAACTACAGAATGATCACCTTCTCGACCAATCGAACCACCCGTGTATGCAACAAGAAAAAGATTTCCAACTTTTAACTTTGGCAAATTGGTTTCTTTAACTATAATCCTCATACATGGTGGATAAGTTTTGGCTAAATCTGTAATGCAAAATATTGTGTCTTTAAGATCATGAAGTACAATATTTTAATCTGTAACTATTACGTATAATATTAAATAATTGCACACCTTTCCAAGTAAAGGAAATCTAACCTCAAAACATATTGTTGAAAAGAGAAACACATTACAATGTTATGTGATTAAATTTCCCTTAGTTAAGAAAGCTTGACTTATTGCATTGTAATCGCATTGTAATATTTAGGTATAAATATTAGTCAATAAAATGTCTTTAGTTTTGTAGTAAGCAATGCTTTAAAAAACAAATTAAAAAAATAAACCTTGGTCTTCTTCATGATCACTGTCACTACTAGTACATAATTCTGGAGTAATGTCATTAATACTGCTGTCGTTATCGTCGCTTGAGCATTCACCCTCCTCAAGTTCATTATCTTCTGATTGTTCTTCCCTTTTCGCAAGTTTGCACTTTTTCCCCTCATCCTACAAGAGAGACACATGTGCATATTAAAAGCATAAGGTAATTACCTAAAGCTTGACGCCTGTATTTTTCAATTGATATGTTTGAAAGTCCGTTTATTAATTCATTTATGTCATCCAAAACCTGAAATCAAAAAATCAATCTGCGATCAATCTTTTATGGAAATTATTTACATAACAGCAATTTAAATTTCAACCTTCGTTGCCTTTCTAGTCTTCTGCTCCTTCTTGCTTTGTACATGCGAAGCTGCTTCATTTACAGTTACTTGTGCTTGACTGTGAAATTGATATGTACCACTTGTTTCATCGTAATAGTAATATGTACCCGAATTGCCATCATAATATAAACCTTGTTTCTGAAACATATTTTATTTCCAAAGTATCATCGATCAAAATTCAATATTGTTAGGAAAATAAATTTAAATTTTGTTATTATGATAAATACTTACCGCATCATAATAATATCCACTGTTATAATCATAATATAAACCCGAAGTTTCTTCGTATACAAAACCAGTTTGTAATAAAGCTGATTCGGCTGCTTCTTTAACTTGCTCTACAAAACTAGCTGAAGGTTTATCGTTACCACTACTCCAATTTTGTGAAACACCTAATTCCTTTTCATATTCCAAAGGATTTGTTTGTGTTCCATAATCGATCAATGTTTTGGTCTGACATAATTTTTGATTTTTCTACGTGTAAAGGATAACAAAATAAAATATGGAAAATGACAATAAACATAATAAAAAATATAATTCGTACATATTCTTTAAGTTTATTTCTTAACTTAGTGATCTTTTTGTTTTGTTTCTTTATATGATCATGCATTCGTTGAATAAACCTTAATACATGAGGGAAATCCTGTAATTCATGTTGAAAATCTTCTTCAAAATCTGATTTTATTTCTCCTTCGTCACTTTCACTAGGTACATTTGCTATCATCTTTTATCTGTTGTTCTAAAACCAATAAAATAATATGTGTAAAATTTCATATTATATGCATCATTTATTATTTATATTTAGTTTAAATAAAGGTGTTAAACTGATTTTATGTAACTGCTGGTTCAGTAACGTGTCAATTATTTTGAATCTAAATAATGTTACTAATTTTTATAGAGATACGAATTGGTGTTATAAATAAAAATAAACATGATATAAATTATAATCATGTAAATGAAATTGACACATGCATGTAGTAGAGTAGTACAACATTCCATTATAAATTAAGCAACAAATAATTCGAAATCTTTTCGAATTTGCATTAAAATTATCATATTTCGTATTTGTACATTCAATTGTTACGTGACATGTAAGTATTAAACAAATAAATCTAACAGATTTTAGAATTTGTATTAATATTTTAGCTGCTTTTCTGGCATTTTTATTTAATATACTTCAAATTTTTACCGTTCTGACTGCTTTTCAAATTATATATTTCTTTATTTTTGTTAAATAAATGTATTAAATTTTTGTAGGAAAACACAGAATATCTGTATCGTATATTTTATACATAAATAAGTGATGTTTTCTCCTGTGATCGCTCTGCCATCTAGAAACAGCTGTTCGTTAACACCCCCGAGCATCATGGCTGCTCCCAGTCCGATGGAGCCGTCGAAAATGACATTTGTCGGTTGAAATTCGATCATATAGTGCCTAATTATCATTCATCTCAGCGACGAACGTAAACAACATACACGTGGTTAAAACATACTTTGTGTTTGCCGTGGTTACAAATTTAGAAAATGACTTTCGTATGGTAACATTTCAATTCGTATGCGAATGTCCCTCCTACGCCACTTATCTTTTACAAACAATAACCAGTGCTTTGTTAAAGTATTATTCAAAATAGCAGGCACGTTACATTGTCAGGACATGTTACAATGATGCCAATAAAGGATAACCAGGATGTGGCATGCTTTCTGGTCACCAAACACTCGTGGAAGGGGAAGTAAGTGTAAATTATTCCAATCTGAAATACGCGACAAAATTTCGTTAAATTTAAACAGTATTATATGATCAATTCTATTTGCCGGTGTAGCATCTTATAAAAATAATTATCGGTGACTTAGAACATACAATTACTTATATATAAGAAGTTAACAAATTATATATAAAAAGTTATTATTGTATGTTTTCACTTACACAAGTTTTGAAATAAACTGACAAAGTAATATAAAATATCAGTGAATGATTCAATAACCTTGTGAGAAATAACATAATAGTCTTAAATTGATAATGAAGATTGCCTTAAAAACGATGGAAACCATTTGTATAACTTTGATATTCATTATATTGAACTTGTTATTGAATGAAAGTTATATAGATGCTGTATTATATTGATTAAATATCATAAATATATTTCAGTCATTAATCTTGCCATGTTATACCATGATACAAAATAGTATTTAATTTTTATGTAATAGGTATAAACGTATTTTTTCTATTGGATCCATGGGTATTACAACATATAATCCCACTACTTTAGAAGTTACAAATAAATGGGAATACTCAGATTTTATAAGTGTACAACCAACAAACAGAAATCAATTGGGTTCTCATGAATTTAGTATAACAATGCGCAAAGAGCGTAAAGTTGACAATATGAAATTTAGTTCAGAATATAGAGCTCATTTATTAACTGAAGCTCTAAGGTATAGGAATCAGTTTGTTGAGAAACCTAAAGAAATTTTGGTAAGTTAAAAGATGTTCATTGTACAATGCCTGTTTGAATAAATGTTACTGAAGTTTAATCAAAACTCTTATCAGCTTAGCCATATGGTTACTATGTAATAGGCTTCAGGTGTGATAGTAGTTAATCATTGACAGTTATCTACATTATTGATTGCATATAGAATTTTTTGTATTATGAATTCATGATATCTTACATCTCTATTAATCATTTATACTAACAGTTCATTATTTCAATTGTAGTATTTCATATTGAGCTATAATTGAATAAAATTATAAACTAAAATATAGTATTTGAGGCTATTAAATAGTCTTTTTTTTACTATGTTTTTATTGAATTAATATTTTTACTTTTCCTAGAGATATCAAGCTTATAAACATCATTGGTCTGACACGAGATTACCTGTTGTACTAGAAGTGACACCATATAGTCTTGACCAATTAGATCCAGCAACTAATATGGTGTTGGCTAGTTATTGTTACAAAGATTTTGAAGGAATTGCTACAATGAAAGATTATCCTAATGGATTTGTAATTGTATGTGGTGGATTTGGACGCTTACATCTATTTGCTTCCCAACATATGGAAGAAATTAAAAAAAAGCTGCTGGAATCAGCTATGAATAATTTAGGTATCAGCATAAAAGTTTTGAAAGAACCAATCAAACTAGATGATTTTACTGCTCAAAGATTGGGCAAGTTTAGTAGCGATGAACACATAACGAGTGTATCAGAATTCACTGTTCACAAATATTCATCTAGGCATATAGATCCTCAAAGAAGAACTCTTTGTCTTTCGGATACTTGTTTATTGGAGAGAGATCCTCAGACGTATAATGTTTGTACTCTTAGACCTTTATCAGATGTTTTTGCTTTGATCCGTGATAATGAAAATCCACAACTGTTTACTATACAATATCTTAATGGTCAAACTCGTAGTTATTCTGCGACGGACAGAGATTCTTTATTAGCTTCCTTATTAGATGGTGTTAGAGCATCTGGTAACAGAGATGTTCATGTTCGAATGTACCCAATAACTAGAGGAAAACGACTTGGACCTCTTAATTTACCTGTTGATGAAGAAGTCGAAACATCTCATGTTAAGTTTCTTCAGCAACCACCAAGTGGACGTACCTTTGCTGAAATCTTGGAAAGATTTAATGCAAACATTCCCTACAGTGGTCTCAATTATTCTGTTACACAAGATGTAAGACATACTTATTAAATTTAATATTGTACATATATAACATTAAATGTAATCCTAAATTCCTATATTTGTTATTACACAAAAATATACATTGATACAGTACATTAAAGCGGCGATGGTCCATTACAATAAGTTAATATTTATGAATCAAAGGAGCAACGTATTATTATTTATATATAATAAGAATGGGGCAAACAGCTACATAAAAAGAAAATTATTGTTAACATTACTTTTTTTATAGTTAATTTTATCTCTTTTAATTATATTTTGTTTTCTTGTTTCATTTTTAAAATGTTGAAAATTATTAACCCTAGAATCAGATTATGTATACTTTTAATGAATAGATAGCGTAGTATACTGAGAAAATGTTTTTTTTCTTTGTCCAGGCTGTTGTACCGCTTGAATGGACTGTAACAACAATACAACTGCAAATATGTCATTTGGTGAATAACTACTTACAGGGTCTGTTTACTGAAAATAAAGATAAAATTATTCTTGGAGCTTTAAGTGCACTGGTTAATAAAGAGCTTGAAACAAATGCAGAAATAGAAGCACAATTTCATGCTTTACGAAGATTGGTTGCTAGTAAAATTGGTTTCACTGCATTTACGACTCTTCCTGGGTTTAGAGAAGCTATTGGACACAAAGTTGTAAAAGCTCTGAAAAGACAAGATTGTGGTGTAACGCAAGCTGCTATAGATTGTATTTGTGCTCTTATGCAACCGATGCATGATGATTGTGATTTAAGGCAAGAACAATTAAATAAAAGTAGTCTTCTCAGTAGTAATAAATTTTTGGAAAGTTTGCTGGATATGTGGATTAATCATATCGTAAGTGTCTTATTGTTATTTTTTCAGAAGTAACTTATAATTAATTGTTCAATATTCTGTACATAACGTAATATCATTATTTTTGTTAATATTTCAGAATCATGGCACAGGTGCTCTGGTAGTTTCTGCCATGCTTGATCTTTTAACATTTGCTCTATGCGTACCATATAGTGAAACTACAGATGGCAAGCATTTTGACAACCTTTTAGAAATGGTTGCTACAAGAGGAAGATCACTTTTTAAACTATTCCAACATCCATCGCTAGCCATTGTCAAAGGTGCAGGGCTAATAATGAGAGCAATTATCGAGGAAGGAGCACCGGAAGTTGCAGCAAAAATGCAAGAACTTGCTCTAGCCGAGGGAGCTTTACCAAGACATCTGTTAAATAGTCTTTTTACTATTGGTACTGATGGTAGACTGTTAACGCATAGGCAGTTATGTAGACATCTTGTAGGACTTTGGGTCACAGGACACCCTACGGCTATGGGCCTGTTGAAAAGGATCATGGTAAATTAACGTTATTGATTGAATTTATAATATCGTATTCATATTTAATTACGAAGATGAAAATAGCTAAGTTTGTGTTCATTGTGCATTTGTACAGCCTATTGGTTTATTAAATTACTTAGACTCCGAAGAGAAAGTGCCCGATTCGTTTCTCGAGAAGGAAAGATTAAACAACCGTGACAATTTAAAAATAGCGATAGATCATGCATCGAAAAATAAGAAGAGTCCACAATGGATTGCGATCGAGCGTCAAATGCGGGTAGTTGAAAAACATGTTGAGCACGCACTGCAACATTGGGGGGCTAGAATAGGTATCGAACGTAAAGAGAAAATCAAAGAACGTCCCATAGTTTTGCGAAAGCGCAGAGAGAGAATTAAATCGGAAGCAAACTGGAATTTGTTTTATTATAAATTTAACCAGGATCACTCACTGCCGAATTTAATCTGGAATCATAAAACACGGGAGGAGCTAAGAACAGCGCTTGAAAATGAAATTCGCGCATTTAGTTCTGATAAAGATTTGGCGGGTGGAACATTGATAGCCTGGAATCACAGAGAATTTGAAGTACAGTACCAATGCCTGTCAGATGAAGTAAAGATTGGCGATTATTATTTGAGGCTTTTGTTGGAAAAGGATAGTCCAGACAGTCCAATAAGGAAATCGTATGTATACTTTTTCTTGTTTTATAATGCTAGTTACAATATTAAAGTTACTAGTTGAACTTACGTTAAATGGACTTTAGTAATGAATTATCAATTTTTGCCATAGGTATGAATTTTTTAACGACTTGTATCATAGATTCATATTAACAACAAAAGTTGAAATGAAGTGCCTTTGCTTGCAAGCAATGACTATAGTATATGAACGATATTACGAAGATATTGGTCCATTTTCGGATACACGATATATTGTAGGAATGCTGGAACGTTGTACGGATAGAATGGAACGTGATAGATTAGTTATGTTCATAAATAAACTTATACTACATAGAAGAAACGTGAAAGATATAATGGATCAAAATGGAGTACGCACATTGGTAGATCTTTTAACGTTAGCTCATCTACATACATCTCGAGCTGTAGTACCTACGCAAACCAACGTGATAGAGGCGGGTCCGCAGCAACAGCAAGCGATGGAAAAGGAATGGTATTACAATGATGGAGATCAACGAAAAGGTCCAATCAGCTTGAAGGACTTGAAAGAGTTGTATTTAACGAATCAAATCACATACAAAACAAAAGTCTGGGCACAAGGATTAGACGGATGGCGAA